CAGCCCCGCACCCCGCCCGCCCAGCTGCTCCCCAGATCCACCCGCTGGGCCGCAGCCAGCCCCCGGCGGCGCCCAGGGGCGCCGGGAGGGCACGGGCCCCCAAGGGCGGGAGGCAGCGCCGGCTGTCCTCTACCAATCCTTCTCCTTTCCCTCAGCAGGAATCACCGTGCCGCAGCTCCTTGACCCCTTGTCCCGACCTGCTCCCCTCCGCCTACCCCAAAGGGCTGTGTTGTCACCCTCTCGCCCCGCTGCCCCCGGCCCGCAGCTCCTGCCCAAATCCTGCGCCTCCCCAGAGAGGAACATCCAGAGGGGTCCTCTGGGATGGCCCCGTGCAGCAGGGCCGAGGTCCCCTGGCTCTGGCCCTCTGAGGATCTGGAGCAGAGTGGATAGGTGTCACAGGAGAGGTGGCAGACCGTGGGCAGGGGCCGGCAGTAGCTTCTTGCCGGTACAGTGGAGCTAAGGGCCATTGGGAGCGTGGAGGGTTCATAGTTGAGGTGCCAGGAGCTGCACTAGTAGGTGAGGCCGATTACACCCTCGCATGCTGCTCTTCCAGAACTCTGTCCCCAGCCTTGGTGGAGCAGGCTGGGGCTGAGAGCCTCCCTCCTCACAGTTTTTCTGGAGCAGCCGCCACCTCTCCCCAGCTCCACATTTTGGCACTTCCCACCTCCAGTTCTCAGCTTTGGCTTTAGCAAGGATTTTGTGAGGGAAAGAAATGCTTTAGTATCTCTCAGCTTCCTCCTCTCCCTCATTCTGGGGTCTGCCAGGAGTGTCTCCCTCATAAGTGTTGTCCTGTGGCGTTGGGGCACGTCACACAGCTCTTGGCATCCTGGCCACCATGGTCCCCCTCAGCAGAACAGTGCTGGCATTGCCATGGTACAGAAATGAATTGAGGAACACAGTCATTTCCTAAAGCCCTCACAAGTGAAGGAGCAGCAACCTAAACTTTTGCACCTGAAGTGCTACCCCCAAACCACCAGCGCTATCTGAATGCTGCACATCACCCAAACACCCAGCACCAGATCCAGGTGGCAAAAGCTGCAGAGCAGCTGCACGTTAACACATACAAGGGCCACAGCTGGGCTTCTGAGCAAGCGCTGGAAAAATTCAGAGTACATTTACAGCCCTGCGTGGCTGTGAGTGCTGGGTACCTCATCCTGCCCGCAAGCAGGAGGAGTGTTTGGAGGCAGTGAACCTTCTCCATTAGCCTCTGCTTTGGGAAACTGCAGAGCTGTGCATCCCATCAAGCAGAGGTGCTCTGGGCAAGGGCTGGATGGGAGAGAGCTGGCAGAGCTCCCTTGTGCTCCTTCAGCTGACGAGCCATGGCCTAGATTTTACAGGGGAAGTCCAGGGATTGCTTCAAATCTTGCTGTTACTGTGTGCAGCTCAGTGGGGAGCATAGAATCATAGAATGGTTTGGGTTGGAAGGGACTTTTAACGGTCATCTAGTCCAACCCCCCTGCAATGACATCTTCAACTAGATCAGGTTGCTCAGAGCCCCGTCCAACCTGACCTTGAATGTTTCCAGGGATGGGGCATTGACCACCTCTCTGGGCAACCTGTGCCAGTGTCTTGCCACACTCACAGTAAAGAATTTCTTCCTTATATCTAGTCTACCCTCTTCTAGTTTAAAACCATTACCCCTTGTC